GCGGCCCCGCCTCCCTGTCCTGTGCCAGCAGGACTTGGAGCCAGATCGCCTAGGTCCTGGGTTCCCTCCGATGGGGGGGAGGGGGGGGCACCTGGGTAGACGGCGTGAGCTGAGGGAGCTGTTCCCTTCTGGCCTTGGAGGAACTAGGATGGTGGCACAGATGGAGAGCTGCTCCCCTTGGGACCAGTCAAGGAATTGAGGTCACACCAGTGGCCCCTCTTTCTACTTGAGCTGCATTGGGAGGTGGTGTAGAGACAGCTCTGTAGCTGAGCATGGCAAGACTGGGGGGCACATCACACTCCTCCAGTGGAGCCCCTGCGTGACCCCCCCCCCCCCCCCACAGGCCAGTGGCTGGCAGACTTGCACTTGGTGTGCAGGTTTAAAAGGCGATAGTGAGAACTTGATTGCAGGGGCTGATGCCTCTTAGTTTGCATTCCCGACAGATTTCTGTAGAAGACACTGGGGTGGCTCTCAAGGAAGGCTCCCCAGCAAGGGGGGCTGGATTGCTTGGAAATGTGGAGCCAGCGGGGAGATGGGGAACATAGGGAATACTCTCGTCCATGTGATCTGAGGGAGGTGGCAAGGAAAACCTCCATCTGTGTGGGCTTTCCCCTCCTGACTTCTCTTTTCTGTTCCCTGGGCTTTCTTGAGAGCCTCAGAGCTGGGGAAGAAAAAAGGAAAGTTAGCATGTTAAAATTCCTTCTCAGCAACTTGGGGAGAGGCTGGGGATGGAAGTCCACAGAGAAGGAGAGGAAATAGAGGAGTTTTTCTTTTGTTTCTGGGCTGACTGAGGAAGATGGTAACATTTGTCATCATAACCTTTTACTCTCCCCCGCCCCCCCCCCGCCCCAGTCCTGGTCAGCTGAGTGTGGAAATAGAGGGATTCCTGCCGCTATTGTGGTCCATGGGCTTTCAAGGTATCTGCCTCCCAAGGGAACCTCAACTTTCACCTTTACATTGGTTTCCTCCATTCTATGTGCCAAGCAATCCCATTCCCAGTAGTTTACATCCCCCAGGTTCCCATCTTTGTTATGTGGGTTGTTGGGTTGGGCATGTGGGAATGGGGCAAGGGGCTTCTCACTTTCCCTCCTCTTCCTGTCCACCCACCAGGTCACACCACCTACAAGTAGGGAGCAGGGACAGAGAAAGAGCCTGCATGCCATTTCTAAGGTCTTCAGGATCAAAGTGAGCAAAAAGGAGGGTCAAAATTCTCTCTCCCTTTTACAAAAGCCAGTTTTCGCTCAGAGGGGGGAGGGGCAGATTGTTTCTATGATCTTGGGAGGAGTGGAAAGAGAACCAAGACTGATGCTTGGTTTAGATGAGAATAATAATGTTATAGAAACTTTCTTGCTCTTCAGTGGGTGCTGGGGATTTGAAAGAGAAGAGGAGACAGAAAATGAACTTGGGGGAGGAGTTAGTTGGGTGTTGGGCTTTGAGAAAGCAGAGATAATACAAGGTTGGAAAGGAACCTGAAGTAGGAGGCACTGATGTTTGTCAAATGGGGGACCCCCCCCCACCCTGAGTGCCTTTCACCCTGGGGGCAGTGTCGTTCGTCCTCTCCAGAATGGCAGCCTGTGGAGGCACCTGCAAGACCAAAGTCACGGTCTCCAAGCCTGTGTGGGACTTCTTAAGCAAGGAGACACCAGCCCGGCTGGCCCGGCTTCGGGAAGAGCATCGTGTGTCCATCCTCATAGATGGCGAGACTTCTGACATCTATGTTCTCCAGCTTTCCCCACAGGGCCCTCCCCCCGCCCCTCCCAATGGGCTCTACCTGGCCAGGAAGGCTCTTAAGGGGCTGCTAAAAGAGGCAGAGAAAGAGCTGAAGAAAGCTCAGAGGCAGGGGGAGCTTATGGGCTGCCTGGCTTTGGGCGGTGGGGGGGAACATCCTGAGCTGCACCGCCCAGGCCCACCCCCTCTCCGAGCAGCCCCACTCTTGCCCCCAGGGGCACGGGGGCTTCCTCCTCCTCCTCCTCCCCTGCCCCCTCCTCTTCCTCCCCGCCTTCGGGAGGAAGCAGAAGAGCAGGAGAGTACCTGCCCCATCTGTCTGGGGGAGATCCAGAACGCCAAGACATTGGAGAAGTGTCGGCACTCTTTCTGTGAAGGCTGCATCACCCGGGCCCTGCAGGTGAAAAAGGCCTGTCCCATGTGTGGCCGCTTCTATGGGCAGCTGGTAGGCAACCAGCCCCAGAATGGACGGATGCTGGTCTCTAAGGACGCCACACTCCTACTGCCCAGTTATGAGAAGTATGGCACCATCGTCATCCAGTATGTCTTCCCGCCCGGTGTCCAGGGGGTAAGGAGACTACCACCTGCCTTTACCCTTTGTTTCCCTCCCTCCCGCAGCTCCTTCTCTGATCTAGGAAAGCTAGGCGAGGGTGAGTGTGTTTTTGAGATGTGATACAGTTTTGCTGTTTCCACTGTATGCCTTTTGCTATATGCCTTCCCACTCAATGCCCTGGAGCTAGGAGGTCCCATGAGGCCCAGCTTTTCCATCCCCACAACCCCATGGCACACATGAAAATCAGGTATCAGAGAAAGGAATTAAATACTATTTCCAATTCTGTAAAGATGATGGCTCAGGTGCAGGCAGGCACAGCAGGAAGGGATCTAACCTTTTTCCCGGAGCTGGGAGTGTTACTCCATTCCAGACTAATGGGAGAGGAAAACCTTGATGACAGTAGGTTAAAATGGGAGTGGTCAAGAGCCTACAGGTGACTTCCTGCTTGACAAAGAGTAATTTCCAGTTCTGCTTTGCAGAGGGATGAGGAAGCTCTGAAGAAGAATAGAAAAATGGAATAGGTTAGATAGTGGAAAAAGCATTGGGAGTGTTTTCAGGTAGAGAAGGGAAGGCTGAAAGATAAATTAGCCTGTCTTCACATTTCTGCTGAGTTATCCAGAGAGTTAAGGACCAGCTACCTTCCATCACTTCTGGTACTCCATTTGTTGCTGAATTGAGACTTGAGGGATTGAGACCAGGAGAAAGAGCCTCTTAACAATAAGGACTGCTGAAACCGGTTTGGCTCAGTGGATAGAGCGTCGGCCTGCGGACTGAAAGGTCCCAGGTTCGATTCCGGTCAAGGGCATGTACCTGGGTTGCGGGCACATCCCCAGTGGGGGGTGTGCAGGAGGCAGCTGATTGATGTTTCTCTCTCATGGATGTTTCTAACTCTCTATCCCTCTCCCTTCCTCTCTGTAAAAAATCAATAAAATATATTAAAAAAAAAAAAACAATAAGGACTTTGTCCAGGAATAGGCTCCTGCTGCCCAGACCCTAGAGCAGTGATGGCGAACCTATGACACTCGTGTCAGAGGTGACACGTGAACTCATTTTTTTTGGTTGATTTTTCTTTGTTAAATGGCATTTAAATATATAAAATAAATATCAAAAATATAAGTCTTTGTTTTACTATGGTTGCAAATATCAAAACATTTCTATATGTGACACAGCACCAGAGTTAAGTTAGGGTTTTTCAAAATGCTGACACGCCGAGCTCAAAAGGTTCGCCATTACTGCCCTAGAGTCTCTCCTTGCCTGAAAGGCTGTCAGCCTGTCGCTGCCCTGTCAGCCTTAGCTGGGTGTGCACAGACAAAAGGCTGGCCAGGATGAACCTCCACTGGAGTCATGGTCTTAAGACGTCCAGCTACTCACTGCCCACTTTGCTTCCCCCTCCTCCCAGGCTGAACACCCAAACCCAGGAGTTCGGTATCCTGGCACCACTCGGGTGGCCTACCTCCCGGACTGCCCCGAGGGTAACAAGGTGCTGACCCTGTTCCGAAAGGCGTTTGACCAGCGTCTCACCTTCACTATTGGCACGTCAATGACCACAGGGAGACCGAATGTCATCACCTGGAACGACATCCACCACAAGACCAGCTGCACAGGGGGACCCCAGCTGTGGGACACTTCTTCATTTCCCTTTACTTGGCTCCTCCCCTTTGTCTGTTTCCACGGAGAGAACAACAATCCCCTCTCTCTGGGAGCCTCCTGATTGGAGTGGGCCAGCCCCAAACTGTTCAACCATCTCTTCCATCCCAGTTTCTCCTGATATGCCCAGTTTAACCTGCAAAAATAAGCAGAATTGGGCTAATTTATGTTGGATTTGGATTACATTAGGGGAGGGAGCAGAGGACCCACAATGGGGCACCCAGAATGAGTGTGAGCATGGGGACAAAGCTGAACAGCTAACCCTGACCCTCATTTTTCTTTGCTTTCAGGTTTGGGTACCCAGACCCCACCTACTTGACCCGGGTGCAAGAGGAGCTGAGAGCCAAGGGTATCACAGATGATTGAAGGACATCCCCTTTGCCAAGGCCCCTGCCTTTGTCCTCCACTAGGACCCAACAGAAGCCTCTGTTCTCCTCTCTCCCTCTGCTCCCCCATACCACACAGTAGGGGACCTGTCTGAACTGGGGAGGAGTTCAGAGAGGGATGGGGCAATCCCTTCTTCCTCTGTCCCCACAGGCCAAGTGCTTCAGTGCAGTGTGAGCTGCTCCCTTCTGGCAGAGGCTGTTTCTCAGGCTCTGCTCCCCTCTGGTGTACATACTCCCAGTCTTCCTGCCCCGTCCATTGCCCTTGGCTTTTTCTGGTCTTTCTGTGCTCCAGCGACTAAGCTGAGAAAGGACCTGGGTGGGGTGGGGTGGGGAGGGGAGGGGTCTTGAACGCCCACTCCCATCCCATACTGTTCCACTGCTGAACTTCGGTGCAGGGGAGGGGGGATCAGCTGCTGTGAGCCCCCATGGAGCGGCCCTGTATGTTCTTCTTAACCAATTCCCCATCTACCTTAACCTTGTCCTTTCCTGTGTCTCTGTTTCTGTCAGTCTGTCTCCTGCTCTTCTCTGCCCCCTATAAGGAGCCTCCTTACCCTGTTCTGGAACTGCCGCCAAACTGTAGCTTTTAATTTAATAAAAATAAAGTAAAATATGCAACTCTATGCCACACCCGTTCTGTTCTGTGGACTGGTGGGGGTGGGGTGGGGAGCGGGACCTGCTGAGAAGGGGATGGGGGTGGATGAGGAAATCCCTGTGGGCCTCCGGAGGCTCTGCCTGCACAGGGCCCGGGGAAACGGCATGTACCTAGCGCGACCCACAATAACACTGCGAAGCCCCAGGTCACGATTCGCCTTGGAATCAGTATTAAGAGGGGGTTGTTGATGCACCATGGTTGTAGGAAGGAACAACCCTATCCCTTTTGAAAAGTTTGGCTGGGGTGGGAGTGGGGGCGGAGCCGGGCAGGGGGCGGATTCGTCAGCAGCAACTCCCCGGACGCACGCAGGCCTCAGAGCCCCCCAGCTTCCGTACCCCTCGGCCTGAAACTTGGAGCTGGGTAGGGGTCCAGCATGAAGCCCCCGGACCGCCCCGCCCCTGGCCGCACTGACCGGATACTGGGGGTTATGGGGGGCATGCTGCGCGCATGCGCCCTACCCGGGCAGGAGGGGGTAAGAAAGGGCGAATGTGGTGGGGTTCGGCGGTCTTTAGGGGGCTTCAGGACGGCTGCACCCCACAACTCAGTTTACCCGCAAAAACAAATTTTGCGGGGCACCCGCAGGAATCCAAGAGTTCCATTAAGAGGGCCATAGCCATGCTCTGGGTGAACCGTTCCCTCCACCCCAGCCCTGGCGACCCTTTCATAACAATGTGGGTTTTGACAGCAGGGAGAAGGGGAAGGGGAAGGTTAAGGCCGGGCGTGAAGGGCGGGTTCCTTACGATCCTTCTGTCCCCGCAGCCTCCGAAGAGAAGCCCCCTAGGGCCGGAAGGGACCGAGCCAGAGTCTGCCTGTACGGAGGGGGGTCAGAGAGGGGAGCGCGAACCGGAGGTCCCCGCGTGGGCTCCGCTGCCCGGTAAGAAGCTGGCGGTGGGGTGGGGCACAGTTTGCCATCCTGCGCAAAGTGGCAAGTGAAGAAAAAATGCTGCCCTCATTAGCATAAAGGTTCGCATCTAATTTGCATGAGACCCATTTCATCGCTGAGACCTCCGTGCTTCTTCTCGCCCTCTAGCCTGCTGTGTGTCCCCCACTCAGCCGGCCCCGCGCCCCCGCGGGCGGAGTAAGGCTCCAGGACTTCGCCTTAATTGGTGATTAGCTTCGGCTGGAGTCCCGGGCCGGGAGGAAAGAAGGGTCGGGTGAGAGGGCGGCACCTGGGCTGTGTTCCCCACACAGAGCCCCCCATTCACCCACCCCCACCGGGGGGGGGGGGCCTTGTCCACCTCTGTCCGGCTAGGGACAGCCCAACTCCAGGCCATCTTCGCCCAGGCCAAGGCCGCCTCCATCGGGCTTTCTCCACCGCAGAGGTGGAGGGGCGATCCGTGCAGACCCCGCCACGGGCTTAACCCCCACCCCAGAGCCCCGCAGTCAGAGCCGGAGACGCAGGAAGGAGGGGAACCCCCGGGCTGGGGAGCCCAGGATGCGGAGGAGGGGCAGAGGCGCTGGGGACGTGGAGTGGGAACGTGGTGGTGCCTGGGGGAGGGGGGATTGGGGCGGGAACCCGACACTGGCTAAAGGGGGAACGCGAGGGAGAGGGCGGAGCTGGGTGCAGAGGCCCCTCCCCGCGGCGGCACAGCGGCTGGGCCTGTT